TGTAGTTTTGGGGTTATCAGTTATTGGCTGTCCAGACTAGTCCTCTTTAGTCTGATAATTGTGTTTTCTTGGTGGTTTTTTCTTTCTCTGGAGGAGCCAAGTCCTGGCAGGTTCCAACTTTATTTTGTCCCTTTTAGGTTTGGAGCTGATGATTATGGCTGTCCCCTTTGGAGCACTTAAGCCCGGGCTGAATCTCATAAACAGTGGGGTGCTAAATTCAGGCAGTCTAAGGCCTGAATAGAGAGAGATGAGTACCTTCAGAAGGCAATTCAGCTCATTTGAGGTCTGAATCTCTGCAAAAGCCTCCTCTGCCTCACTGAGGGAAGGGGGCCAAGGCAGTGATGTTCAGATAATGGCCCTACTGTGGTAGCAATCCATTCCTTCACATACCAGGTCTGTGGTTTCTCTTCCCCAGTCCTCAAGGTGTGCTTAATTAACTTCCTATCTTTCACGGAAGTGGTGTGGGTTTGAAGTAATCAGTCTTTGTGAAATAGTTTGAGATCTTCAGCAAAGACTGGGACCAGCTTGTCAGCTGCCAGGCATTGGCATAGCTCCGTTAAAGTCAGTACAGACCAGCTGAGGATTCTGGACCCACAAATGCAGTTATTGTTATAATAATAGCATCAAACAAGTAATCATTATTTTTACTCTCTCTTTTCATTTCAAAATGAGAAAATGATTTCCTCTTGGATCAGTGAAAGTAATTTACATTATGCACAATAATGGTCTACATGGAAATATAATTATTATTCATTTTTATGGCACCATCTGGGCACTAGAAGCTTTACAGACACATGTGAGGAAAGGTCCCTGCCTTGAAGAGCTTACAGGGTGAATAGCAAGTATAGCTGCTAGTGCTTAACAAGAGTCACAAGTGTAACTTGCAGTATTACCAGCAGGGACCCGTTCAGCACAGGACTTCCACAAACTCTTCTTCAGTTGATTTCTACTCACAGGTCAGAATTCATCTGTGATTGGCACTGTACGGCCTAAGGGTAGGATAAGTCAAGGGATTGACTAGTGTGGATGGATCAAGAAAGAAATCAGGAAGAGGCTAGTATTATAAATTAGCTATCCAGCTGTTTTCAGGCAGGTAAAGGAGATTTCCAGGCTTCACTTGGGAGCACAAAGTGGTCTCGAAGCCTGTGTTTCCTGTGGAGTTACTCCCAGGCTTTGCATCAGATTCTGGACTGAACGCTTTAATGAGTTTGAGTAGGAGCTAGATGTGAAGAGACCAGGCTTTTGAATTGTGTGGATATTAAAAATGAGCGACTTGTAATGTTGTTTAAGCTTATATATGGTGTAACCTTGCTGAGTTCAGACTTTTATGTGAAGTACCAAAAGGGTCAGTACAGGACACTTAAGTCATGTGACTTCTTATTTTTAGAGATGATTAGAGGATTCCTCCAAGGGATGAACTATTTATAGCATGTCTATAATTGGCTTCTCTTTTTCTTCTTTTTGTTCTTTTTTTTTTTTTTCTTTTTTGGTGGTAATAAACTGAAATTTCACAATAAATGAGTATCAGTTTAGTAGAAAAAGTTACCTAAAAAGATTTCACACTAGTGTGTGGTTGACTCTGAGGTCATATCTTGAATACTTCCCACATATTTTGTTTTCAAGCTACTGTTCTGTTGCTGTTCTATTATTAGAGAGTAAGTGGGATGCTTATTTAAAACAATTTTACAAAGCTGAACGGCACTGCAAACTTTAACTTGGATTTGGTTGAATGAGTCATGGGCACTCATTTTTACTTCATACTGCAGCTTTTGCTTGTCCTTCAGATGTACTCTTACAGTTATGTTGGTGGAGTCTGAGCATTTTTCTTTGAGTTGGTGCTATTCGCTGCCTTCTTAATGGCGAATTTTGGATTCCATGCTCTCTGAATTTCAGTGGTCTTCTGTTCTTGAAACTCAGCCTGTTTGTAGTTGGCTTTGTTCTTTATAATGGAACTTTTTGATTCAGGAGCAGTTGATTCAGGTTCAGTTCAAATATCTTTTGGGAGAAAAAGCGATAGAAGTCATGTATGTATTGACTAAAATGAAGCGAATTCCCTGAAACTGTATTCATCCCATTGACCCTTTTGGGGGAGATGAACAGACAAACCCGAAAAATTACATTTCCATGGGAAATTTTGGGTTCTTCAGAAATATACAGCCACAAGGCATAGTGGTGACTAGGGTCCTTGTCATGGGTTGTTCTGTAAACTTGGCAGGAGGATGACTGGTCAGTCTTGAAGATGAGTCTCACAGCTGCCAGGGGCATCAGTTATCAGAGCAACTGAAGAATGTTTTCCTCAGTCAGGCAGTGTACCTGGAGCTGTACCTGGCTAAAGGAGGGACATCTACTGGTTATGAATATTTAAATTGGACTTCTGTGTAGAAACGGAGTGTTACCAGAGGGGACTGGGGACATCCTGAGCCAGCATGTGAAGAAAAAATAATCTGTTTTCAAGCTAATAGTACCTGGTAGGAAAAAAAAATACACTCATGAAAAATAGCAACTTGTTGCCTACAGAGGTACACATTTGGGTAGCTGGAGATAAATTTAGGCACCTAATTATATTGACTTGGATGCCTACAGGCTTGCTTATGCACTTAAAACTTTGTGCCTGACACAGATGTTTAAATATGTAAATACAGATTCAGGTGGCTACCTTAAGGCATGGAAGTTCAGCAACTTGGCCTAAAGTATGTAAAACCCAAGCAAACAAGCAGAAGAGGAGTAAATGTAGTAAACAAAGCTGTTAGTGTGTATGCACCAGGAGAATAATAATGCTTTGCACAGCTACTGTGCCTCAAATTGCTTATGCTTTGGCATTCACTTGAATTGAGTTTAGTCACTCAATTGCATAAATAGCAACTTGGAGGTGCTGTCTGCTAGCAGCATACATGGAGCAGTACCTCAGCAATGAACTAGCTTTTTGGCAGTCTTAGAAGAAAAGATGTGCAAGTCTTCAGTGCAATATTTTGATAAGTCACTGGTTCTTATTAAAATAATAATTATGGTGATAATTATAACTAGTTGGCTCTGACTGAGCTTCTGAGTAGGGGGCGGCGGGAGGAGGATTATGAATATTCTTGTAAAACCATCTGAATCCTGCTCTTTTAGCTCTGTGCATACAGATGAGGATGTTTGTGTCTGTATTTCTGGCACATCATGTGCCAGTAATGGCAGTACCCGTGTGCTGTGTGGCAGCTCATAGGAGGCAGATGGAGATGCCTGTGCATTCTGCCTTACAGGCTGATCATCATCCCTGTGGTCTTGTTTCTAATAACAGAAATATGATCAAAATAGGTGATAATATTTTACAGCAGTATAGTGATAAAGTGGTGTAAAAAGCTCATGGCTGTCTGGCTTTCTGTACTTAACAATGTTTGTTGTGTCTGTGCCTTCTTAGCAAGATTGTGTCATCTTGCTCCCAAAAGCCCAGGTCAGGCCCTGTTAATATTGAAACCAAAACAAAGTTTCCATTAGCAGGTAGCACTTAGCTATGATGACACATTCTTGAGCATTTCTAATCTAATTCGGTATTAAACTTTTACAGTAGCCGGGCTGCCCCTGCACTACCTCCTGTGCTAAGTGACTGCAAATGATTAATGACTATTTATGAGACAAAGATGGTCTCAAACATCCTCATTTTCCAGACTCTGAACAGTGATTTCCCCTGCTCACCCCCAAGGCCCAGTTATAAAATATTTTTCTTTTTGGTTTCTTTTGAAGCTGATTTTTCTCACCCCTGGATATCTAAGAAAAGCAAACAGCACTGGCTATTACCTGCCCGTTTGTACAAAGCTGCAGTGTACACCTGGAGTATGAGTTTGGGGTTGGTTGCTCCCCTTGCTTTGGGCTTCAGCAAAATGCCTCATGAAATGGGCAGGAGAGTTCAGGTTTTAAATTGCAAGACAAGTTTCTGTATGGGAAACAGCAGAAAGATAGAAGTCAGCTGTAAAACTCTGTGGGACCTATGGAAGCATCACCAGTTGAAAAATTGGATAAACCTAAATGCATTTATCATGCTTTGAGAGCACAGGCATTTTCTAGAAGTGAATTTCATAGTGTGTGCTCATTTTGAGAGGGAGTTGATGCAGAGAAAGAACACAGGTTTGCATAGCCCAGGTCTTCGGTTCTGTAGTTGTCCTGCGATCCATGCGTTTATGTACATATTTCACGCAGTAGAATTCAACCCAAATGTATATTATGTGAAAGTTAGGCTATAAGGTGGGGTTTCTTTCTGTCTTTATACAGCCAAATATATAAGTAAAAAGTGCTTTACTTGATTTTTTTTTTTTTTTTTTTTTGACAAGTTGGACCCAGTTATTTAAAGTAGTTTGTTTTTTGTCTGTTTTAGTACCATCACAAGTGTGTCAGACTGAACAACGATCTCATGCTCTCAGGATGCTATCTATAGGGTATTTCATTCTGTAGTTTAAGTCTTTCAGGGGATTTTCACTTTCTAGTTGCACTGATGTAAATTCACAGTAATTCTCATGTCAAGGACCTATGAATGAATGTAATTGCGGAGGAAAACAAGGGTCTTACAGGTCAAAATATTCTTCAAGGACTCATTTCAGCAACTGATGGAGCATTTTGTTGCTTTTGAAGTGTCACTGTAATTTTGTAATGAGTGTTCAACAGTCACATACTATGTTCTAGATGCTTTCTGTTTGTGGAATGTGTGTTGCTTGGAAGGGGTAAGTGAAAGGAAGCCCTTGAATTTTATTCTGGCCGGGATTGAACTTTTGGGTTGTGTTCCAGTTTAGATACCAGCCCTAGCCAGGCTTTGATCTGAAGTCTGCCACCTAAACAAACCTCCTCAGGGCTTTGAAGCCTTTGGTAGTTAACGAGCAAGGTGTTGTTTGTTTTGCTTATTAGTAAATGTTTGTATATTGTTGTTAGTTTTAACATGGTCTTGTGTATTAAATTCTTCCTTCTTGAACAATTCAGTCCTGCAGAGAATAAGCTCTACTTTGAAGTCACTTGCAGTTATGGCATGGTAGCACAGTTGTTTAATATATTAATGGAATTGGAGAGAATACTACTTCAGGTCTCTAATAGACAAATTGGTAAATAGTAACTCCATTATGCAATGCTGTTTTTCCTTTGAATAACTTGGTATGATTTTGTTCCGTGCTCGCTGTCATTGGTAACCTGTTTTCCTCCTAAGTTGTAGTTGTCCAGTTTGGAAGACTGCTTCTGGTTTACTTTAACACTTCTGCAGCATTCACCTGTTTTATGCTGCCTGAAGAGAGCAAAATGGATCCTCAAATGTTTAAATCTGTTGCTATGGTTAGGATGATAGTTCTGTAGCGATGTGGAGATGCTGTAGGTGTTTGAATTATCTCTTTAGTAGAGAGTTAGTGGTTTGGTGGTTTTGGGGTTTCCCCCCCCTCCGTGTTTACTAGGGTAAAATGTACTCAGGGCTCGAGTTTTGCAATTCTTAGGCGAACAGAGGCATGCATCCTGGTGCAACTGAGTTTCTGGATGTTTCTGTTGGCAGTGGTGAAATTATTTAACAATCACTGTCCATTTTTAGTGATTTTAGGGGTGATGAAACTTACAATTTAGGATTTTCTGAAGGCCCATATACAAAGGTTGTGCAATGTTAATGATTTCATCCCATGCTGAATTACTAAATGTTCTCAGGAGGACTCCATGCTGACTTTTGCATTATGCTTGATGCAGGGAAAGACTATGCTGATGGAAGGTTAAATCATCTGTGTTGTATTATGCTTTACCTCTGGCACTCAGCTTTTAAGAAGTCATGTGCTTCAGTATGTGTTTACTTGTGAACTTTTGGGCCAGTTTGAAAGGAATGAGTGGGGTTTCTGAATGGGTGTAAGACGTCTGCTTTGTATTCAAGTGGATTACCTATGTTAGAATTTAAATGTATTGAGTCCTACTTAAGGAGATAACCAATTTACTTGTACATGGTGGTCTGCCTGGGGATCAGCCAGTGTTAGGTTAAACTGCAAACATTTATATTGAAGGACTTTTGTATTCTGATCAGCTTGTACAGTGCGTCAGCTTCAGCTGTTGTTTAACAGTGTTTTTAGTGGTTGGACTCAATGATCTTAAGGGTCTTTTCCAACTTAAATGACCCAGTGAGTCAAACTTTGAAAAGTAAAACAAAATCTCAGGGTCTGGAAGAAAGATACTGTGTCTAAGGCTGTGTGGCAGCAACTGGATGTAGATTTAACTCCCAGCTTTAGAAGACACTGCTTGTGTGGCCTCCTCATGGAGGAGAATATGAAGGTGGCTGTCTCTGCTTCCTGTTAGTTAATCAGAAGGACTAAATCACTGGATAGTGGGCCTGGTGCGTGTGTAGCTCTTCCTGGCGGACTACAAACACGCATACTGAAAGCTGCACTGAATGGCAACGTTTGCCAAATATCCTTGTCAGATTTCCATTTTGGGGGGGGGGGGGGCATGGAGGAAAGATGACTATCTTTGATAGATCAGACAGCCAGAGAAGTTGAGGGTTTAAAGGGCATTCATAACTGGACAAGTGTCTCATGGGGAATACCATGCAGGCGGTGGTAGAATGTTGGTGGTGGCAGAGTCCCAGAGGATAGAATGTTTGTGGTTTCCCAGGGGATCAAATGTTGTGGTGATGTCAAGGCAGATAGAATCTTTGTGGTGTCCAGGGGTTGATAGCCCATACACCAGGACAGGTATGTAAAGGGCTGCGTGGTGACAAGGGACAAGGGCCAGAGCAGCCTGGGGGCAACCAGGTGGGTAAGCAAGGGCTGAGGCGAGAGGGCAGGAGGAAGGCAGGGAGGGGAGGGCTGGGCTGCAGGGCCCAGGCAGGGAGGCCACGTGCCCGAGGTGCGGCAGATGGTGGCTGCTCCTCCTTTGACTTCCAGAGCCAGAAGCTCCCACAAGGAGAGGACCAGAACATGGCACACTCCTGACCTTGGCCACGCAGCCGGACATTTGCCACCTCCTGCAAGGGCACAAAGTTAAGTCATGGAGCCTGGCAGAGCCCTGGGCAGGGGCTGCCCATGGTACACCAGTGTGGCTGCAGTGTAGTTTGTTCCCCTACCTTTTGCAGACATGGGCTCAGACAGGGAATAGACCAGCCCATGGTGCACTCCCATCCTCAGTCACACAGCATGAGATTCACTTCTTTCTAGGAAGGACGCTGACACAAAGTTAAGTGTGGCAGAACCCCGGGCAGGGGTTGTGCATGGTGAACAGAGGTGGCTGCTCTGCAGTTATGTTGCCTCTTACAGCCACAGGCACGGAGCAGGACAGGATGAGACCACAGCGCACTCTGGTCCTCAGCCACTCAGAGACATTCACTACCTTCTATAAGGACACAGCAGATGCAGACCCAGACAGCAAATGAGCTGGACCATGGCGCACTCCCGTCCTCAGTCACACAGCATGAGATTCGCTTCATTCTCGGAAGAACGCTGATACAAAGTTAAGTGATCTAGTCAGTCAGAGCCCTGGGCAGGGGTGGCCCATGTGAACGAGGGTGGCTGCTGCCTTTGCTTGTTGTCCTTCCAATTGCAGCCACAAGCCATGACCCGGAGTGGACCAGACCATGCTGCACTCCTGTCCTCAGACGCACTGAGGGAGAGACTGGCAGACGAGCTTGTTGACATGCTGTTGGGAAGAATGAGGACATTGACAGTGACAGGACACAGTTGAAAATGTAACTACTTGACCGACGCAGGCCCAGATGGACAGGACCAGACCACTGTGTGCTCCCTGCCTTCTCTCAGCAGCTGCTCAACCAGAGATTTCTGTAGCCTTCAACAACAAGGAAGCCACTGACCTAAGGACAAGGAAGTACAGCCAGCCTCAGCCTGCACCTCATTGTGTTCCCTCAGGAGCTGGAGGCCATTGGCAAGGGGAGCTCTGTGCCACTCACCCTCTCTGTGAAATTGACCTGAAACAAATTTTTCTGATTCGTGAGCCATTGGCTGATCCTTCTGCTTTGTGTGGTCTTTGGGGCAAATGTCCTGGGCCTTTTCCTTTTTATCATACGATTATAGAATCTTTTAGGTTAGAAGGGACCTTCTAGTGCAATCCCCCTGCCATCTGCAGGGATGCCTTCCACCTAGACCAGGTTGCTTAAAGCCCCATCCAACCTGGCCCTGAACACTGCTAGGGATTGGCCATTCGCAGCTTCTTTGGGTAACCTGTTCCAAAGGCCGCTTTAAGTATTGGAAAGCTGCCATGAGGTCTCCCTGGAGTCAACTTTGTGTTGACTTTCAGTCAAGACTATACACTTGAAACAGCAAAAATGATGGAGATTCACCTAATCCATATCCTTAAGTAACTGAAAGAGACAGTGGAATTATAGGTGTTAACAACAGGCATTAAGCATTTAGTGCAATGAGAGGTGTCTTTATGTATCGCTCCTGGTTGATGTAAAGCGGCATGCATTTTTCCCAGGAAATAGGGTGTTGTTGGTTGTGATGTCCCAGAGGATAGAATGTTGGTGGGGGTGGTGTCCCAGCCCATGGAATGTTGGTGGTGGCCATGTTGTAGCAGATAAAATATTTGTGGTGGCAGTGTCCCAGTGATAGAATGGTGGTGGTGGCTGTGTCCCATCAGATAGAATGGGAAGGGAAGGTGTATTTGAGGAAAAGCATGTTTTTTTTGCCACAGTATCTGTTTTGACTGTTGTACTGTGACTAAGAGCCTGTGTATCCGTGCTTTGCTGTGACAAATTCTCATTGCAATACCAGTGCAAAAGCAGCTGTTTTATACAGCTCCTGTGTGTTAGGTTGCCCACCATAACCCCATGCAAGTCTCCCAGAAGCAGACAAGTTGTTCTCCTTGTTGCAGTTTCAGAGTAAATTTGAGCCAAAAATAAACACGACTGTTGACAAAACAGTTGCCAGTCCTTAACCTCCCCAGGTGAGTTGTGCTGGTGTCTTCCTGCCACAAGAGAAGAGGCACTCTTGTTTCAGCTCTCTGATAGCCTCTGCGTTGGTGGGATGGATGGTCCAGGTCCGGACAGTGATGGTAACCACTTACCAGTTAGATTCTGTTACTAGTGTTGTGCCTGGCTTGCCTGGCAGCAGCTGTTTCTGTTTTAGGGCTGTTGGTGGGAGGGAACCCATGTTCTTTTTTCTGCTGTGTCTATAATCAGGTTAATTTTTTGTGAGCTGCACACATCTGTAGCCTAAAACATGTGCTCAGCCTGGAGGTAGTCAATGAAAAGTGAGGTTTCCCACAGCCTGGTGTTCTCTTGCCGTTAGCAGAAGCTTGTACTGGTGCAGTCTTGCACATTTTAATGATTCAGCACTTGATATTTATGAAGTCCTTTGGTTTGCACAAATGAACATAAATATGAGTATCTTCTGAACATACCTAATGTAATGCAAGCCTAATATTTCTTGTAGGATTTTCAGTCTCCTTAAGTAGTGCTTTCATGTGTTTATGAAGGGAAAAAAAACCCAACCCCAAAATCTTTCGCTATTCTGGCTGCTGTGTTGTGAGCAGTGAGTCCTTGAGAAGAAGCTTTTCTATTATCCCTAATGCTCTAAAGCTAGCTGAATAAACAAAATGAACATGGATGTTTCCTCACTGGTGATGCAGTTCGTAAGACTACACCACTAAAGACATTACTCAGCTGCAGTTTTTGTGTGCAGTGATCTGTTGACCAAACAATTCAGTCTTACTCAAGAAAACTTCTGCAAAGTTAAATGGGCTTGCTGAATAATGCTTTTTGTGTTAGCAGCTTATTAAGCACTTAATGAATTACCCAGATGTGTTTAAATTAGCCAAATGCCACAAGGGCACTGTGATGTGCAGCTGAGTTTGTACCCTGTTCCTGGAGGAACGGGCTGAACAGTGAGAACAGGCATTGCCTGCAGTTCTGGGGCAGCTATTTGGCTCATACATGAGTGAAAACACAATCAAAATCAGTGCTGTATAGAAGCCCTTTACAGATGTGTTAATTCTGGCTAAACTCAGGTTGTGCCAATTTTAACAGAAAATTCTTCACACAACAGAAGAGGAATAACTTTGAACTGGTTGCAGTCTGTATTTAGTAATGAGACAGCCCTTTGCTGCTATGCTGACTAGTCTGCCTCCTTGCCTTCTCTGTGCAATTGTTTTCCTTGTTCAGGCATTTTTTCTGTGAGATTAAGAGCTTTAGTTTGTAGAACAGAGGATGAGGGTGTAGGTGGGATGAGGAAGGCAGAAGCAATGCACAGTTCTTCAGTGAACCTGTGCCCCAGCAGTGGATGTGCCCTGGGAGCAGAGGGTGCTTCCAGGATGCCCTGATCTTAGGCAGCATTTCCAGCTCTCCTGGGAAATGAGATGAGGTCACGGTTTGTGTAGTAGAACAGATGTGTGTTGAGGCTTTAAGGCAGGCTTGAGCAGTCTGACCACTTACACCCTGCTTGTAGCTATAGGATCTGCTGTTGTGTTTAAAACCAGTAATTACGAAAAAGAAAGGCTACCTTGTTGGCACATGTGCAGGGACTGATGTTTTCATAACTGGTTTAGACTGCATTTCAGGCAATTTAGAGGTGTCAGTTGCTATTGGAAGGAAGGTAACTTTAGTCACCTAGCTCATGAACTGTTAGAAATGACCCATGTGGGATGATATTATCTTAGAGCTGCTGATTTCTGTTACTACTCTATTAACTCTAGTCTTGGTGACTTTGTTGTTGCTCTTATCCCCAACTCTGTTTTCATTGAAAACTTAGTCTTTTATTCCCACATCAGGCTGAGCTTGCTGTAGCTTAAGGCAGTAACACATGGAAACATTCAGTTGCATGTCCAATTGCTGCAGTGTGGCATGGCTGCTCCCCAGGGCCCACATATGTGACTCATTGATTGTACAAGGTTGTCCAGCACTTTGCCAGAGTTGTATCAGAAATGACAGAGGCTTCAACTTCAGCCACCCCTCATCCCACACAGCATGCCTGATTCACCTGCAAGACAGCTCATCACTGGTGCAGAGATGAACTTTCTCTTGGATTGTCCCTCTGTGCACGATGGGAACTTGTTTTCATGTCCATGTGTGTAGTTCCTCTCTGCTGGCATCTTTTTTCTAAAAATCATTTTTCCCTGCTCCCCCTTTCATTTTTTATTCTCACTGATGTGCATCTTCTGTTTCTCCCTTCCTTTTCTGAACAAAGATTTCTTGTTTCTAAGCATTTGAGTAACACAGTTTTGTTCCCTTTTTGCAGAGACAGACCAACTTTGATCAACAGTGAAAGTAATGGTTGTAGAAATTCACATTGTGCACTTCTTGCATACTCCATGGAATGTCTTTGGAGCTGGTACTTAGCATATTGCTTCTGGAAGCACGTTTCTGGCATGTAGCTTTTATTTGTGCAGCCAGAGACCTTGGCAAATGCTTCATGCTCAATAGGAACCCACAGACCTTTTAGATACTGAATAGTATAAATCAGGACTTATCAACATGGGAAAGTGGTAGCAAAATAAGCAAAGGTGTATGTTTAACCCTTGCTAGTTTAGTTAATACTAAACTTTGGTTCTGCATGTACGGTGCTGTTCTGTAGGTTGCTTGATCTACTCCCAGAGTTGTTGAAGTTCAGCTTATGGGTTTAAAGTCACCATATAGGAAACAGCTGAGGGTTAGTTACTCTGGGCAAGTCCTGAGTGCATGACTTGTTCCAAAATAGCAATATTTTTTATCATTTATTCTTTGTGAATAAAGCAATGATTAATAGAAGTGTTTATCTTCAAAAAAGTTGCAATTTCTAAACATTTTTTCAAGAGTAATTTTAAACTAGTATTTGCATGTTATCCATGAGAGAAACTGTTTGTTTGAACTCTAAATCTGAGTAGAAAAATGACATTTTTCTGTCTCCCTTGAATATGTTACTGTAGTTTCCTCTGATGACAACTGGAGGGGTCAGCGGTGACAGGAACTGACACAAACTGGTACTGTGAGACAATTTGTGGCATATGTTGTGCTAAGGTGGGTTTACTTTGCTAGCTGCACCTGTAATGCACGCTTTGCTTGCTTCGGCTGATTTATAATGTCTGACTCTTCATTTTGCACTGATGGCTTTTTTTGCACCATGACTGACATTTCTGTGCAGAAAGTCAGTGCAGATCCTGTGCCAACCTTATGCAAAGGTCCTCATCAAACCAAGCTATGAGGTAAAAGCAGAACAATCAGTGCAAAGGAGTTTGTTACTGCTTTCCACTCCAAGGTGAAATTTTATCCTAAAATAGAAAATACACTGGGAAGTCCGCTTTGAAGCCTCTGTAAGCAGAAGTGGAAATATGCATAATGGGGCACATCTTTTTCAGCTGGTTAGAAAAATTAGGTTTGACAATAATGGTGTCTGGAGGAAAATGTGTTAAAGTCAGTATGACTGAAGTCTTAGGGTCCAAAGTAATGTGCTTTAGGAAATAGCTGCTGCATGCATATTCTTTTAGTCAATCAAAGGGCCACCTGAGAAGGTATGATTATACTTCTGAGGCTGTGGAAAGTACAGAGTGAACTTGCTGCAGAAGCAGGATAAAACGTGCACTTTTCCTCCCCCCACCATTTCCCTGGAAATTGCTTCTTTTACATGTGTATACCCTTTACCATACCAGCTGCTTTAGGGGAAGCATCTTTCTGTTTTGTTTTGCTTTTCAATACTATGAGGTTGCCCAGGGAGGTTGTGAATACTCTATCCCTGGCAGTGTTCAAGACCAGGTTGGACGAGGCCTTGGGTGATATGGTTTAGTGTGGGGTGTCCCTGCCCATGGCAGGGGGGTTGGAACTAGATGATCTTAAGGTCCTTTCCAACCCTAACTATTCTATGATTCTGTGATTCTATGATCCTAATAGGAAAAGGCTGGTGGTTACTGATATAGATGTTAAAAGAGCCATTGGAAACAGGGCATAGCACATTTCTTATATTTTGTGAATGTTGTAAATAAATTTCAGCTTTGTCTGGGTGTGCATCTTCTCAAAGAGTGGTGAG